AAAATTCGATAAATTATCGTCATTTGACATAAAATTATTAATTACTAAATCAGTTACGATGATAACATATTGTTTATTGTTTTTTCGTATTTTATTACGAAACTTTTATTTCATTATTTAAATATTTTCAAAGATTTAAAAAGTAACTTTGTGATACATATCTGAGCAAATTACTGTTAATTTTCCTTACAATCGCTTTCGTAAATTATCTTTAAATTAAGAAACATATATTGATATACTTTAACCTAAACGCATTACATGATCATGTCGTTGAAACCTTATTTCGTTTTAGATATTAATTTTATTATAACTAAGTTTTAACAAAAACTAAAGGAAAGATCATACATTTGTTTCTCATTTAGCCTTTAAGTCAAACGTCGTCGGCCCGATAGAGACCACTGCTGAGCAAAGGCCGCTTCTTACATGGAGAAGGTTTGAGCATTAATCACCACTCTTGCTCAAGACGGGTTGGTGATTTCAAACTTACTTATTATAATTGTGAAATTATAAGTCCAGGTATCCTCACGATACTTTTCTTTCACCGTCTGTCTATGGTGTCTAAATACTCTTAGAAAGTATGTACATATCAGTCGGAACAATCAATTGGTACTTGCCAAGATCGAACCCGCGCCCTCGTATACGAGAGGCGGGCCTTTAACCATTGGGCCACCACTGCCATGACTTAGTCAAACAAGAAAGATCAAAATTTTAGTAGAGCGACATATATACACTCAAATTGGTACTAGCTATTTCACTGAAATATATCTGACACGTACAGAGTCTTTGGAAAGCAATGAGAAGTATTTTTCTTAAGCATGGAGATGTGTCATTCATGCGAATATTAGAAATTTCTTCAAAGCAATTTAACGTATCTATTTTATTATACAACCTCCTTGTTGCGACTCCACGTGTTGACATTATAATTCGGTTTATTTGTAACAAAAAAAAATATCGTAACTTAAAGCATATAAATTAAATAATTCAAGAAGTATTTTATTGTGTTGTCTTCTCCAAAACCTTTTCAAAGTTCCTCGCTCGTAAATATTCGTACCTACAAGTACCAAAGCAATGTCAAACAAAAACTATGTAAATGTAATTTTGTACAACATAGGGTGACCTTGATACTGGAATTAAGAGCCTAATAGCATACTATGGCATCTTGCTCAAATATTTATTAAATATAAAAAAAATAATTACATGTTACACATTAAGCATGTAAAATAGTATTTCAATATTTCGATCTTTGTCAATGTTGGAGTTAGAAAACTAATAAGATTCAGATATTTACAACATATAAACGCTTATTGCTGCATAGAAAAATCTCGAAACATAGTTTTGCGTAGCTTCTAGATACGCCTGCATACAAATGCTCTCAATATGAGATTTCTCTATAAAAGTTACTTAAAGGTCACCCGTGACCCGTGTAACGAAATATGAAACATTTAAAACATTCACTAGCTGATGTCAAAGAGGAACTACTTTAATATTTTTAATATTTAATTCAATCTCCTTTTAGGTTTATTTACATTTTTAAGTATGAAGCTGAAACACTTAAAAAAGCCGTTATTTTTACGTTTCTTAGTATTTAAAAAACAGATAATAAAAAACATTTCATTTTTTTTAATCTTTGACAGTTCCCGTTTAAAAACAAGAAATTATTTTACACTTTAAATTTAATTTTAGTGACGTTATTGTACCTATAAACTAGTATCAATTTCATATAACACTATAAATATCTTGAATATAATTAATATAAGGTAATTGACACATAGTGTGTGATCTTGTTAGCACGGATATTACTAGCTCTGTGCTGATAGGATACTGCCAACGTTGTGTCAATGGCGTTATTACTTCGTTTAAAATGTCAAAAGCTTATATTAAAATTATGATATTAACATTAATATAAATTTATTAAGTAGAGTGTTGTTTAAATAATAATTATAATTAAATAAACACCTTCCTTTGATTTGACCTTCTTGTTTTCTCCACACAGTAATCAAGATAATTCGGCCAACAAATAAAAACGTTGACATTGGAAAAACATTCCACATAATATGTATATCGGATTTATTACTAACTAGTAAACCCGGCGAACTCCGTTTCGCCAGGAGAAGGCTTTTATACATATAACATTTCGTTTGGTGATTAAAAGATGAAGATTTTTTTGTTTTATATTTGAAAAGGAAAATTTTTATTTCATTTCACAACAGTAATGAATTCATTTCGCTTACAAAAATGAAGTGTTATTTAGTTGAACTTCTGTAAGTAAATGAAAGTGAATCCAAAGTAGATACCGAATCGTTATACGTGTCCGCAAATTATCCGTTTCATTGAAGTGGTCCTTTGTAAACCACATTTTTTGGTTTTTGGTCTAACTTTAACACAAATAAAGCGGATGGTTTCCAAACTCGTGAACACGCAAAATATAACTGCCCATGTGAAAAACAATGATTTTCTAAATTTATCATTTATTCGTCAATTTCATAGCTGGCAATTTTTTCGTTATCCTTCGTTTTATAGTGACTGACGTTTGATGTCAAGTCCCACGGGAATGCTGTCGAACGGGATAAAAAGTATCCTATTGCAATTTCCTGGCTCTAAACTACCTCCATGCCAATTTTCAGCTAAATCGGATCAGCCTTGAGTTATAAGTGGAGTAACTAACACGACTTTCTTTTATATATATAGATTCGTTGTTTTTAAAGAGAGAGACGCCTGCCTCGCTGACTTTACAAATGTCACTTCTTCTAGAACGATCCATGAAATTTTAAAATGAAACTTCAATTGTTATTAATGCTCCTGTATTTCTCGAAGATTCTTCATAATCACATATTTCAATGATACGCACTCCTTGAACTCTGAACTCTGCCGTCGTGCGTCCAGACGTCATATTTATACCAAGATTTAAACATAGTTCTATTCTCCTATTAAACAATCTTTGATTTTGTTTTACTTTTAACAATAATCATGAATACTAATGAGTTTTAACAATAATTGATGACACCCTCAAATTATTTTCATGTCGCATCCGTTATTAAAGCGCCGATATATATACGAGTATGTATGTAATATCTTTTCAGAATATTATTCTCATTTATGATATCGCTGTACTCATTGCTATGAAATTGTATTTCGGATAAAACGTTAAGCATAGAAAAACTTAGTTGCATTTATTGTTATTAATATTTCTCAGCGACATTTATTGTTTTAAAAAACAAACAAACAAACATAAAATTGAAAAAATTTACTCAATTTGCTTTTTTCTTAGTTTAAAATTTGTTATCATTATATTCTATTGATTTGGTAATTTCTATATTCGATTTGTATTGTATTTCACATAAATTTTCAATATTTTCGTGAACCCGCTTTACGCCCTCAGTAAAAACCCGTCCGAAAACAGTTCATAAGAAATATAACGATTCTTTTTGGTAAACAAATATTATATTCGTGAAGTTAATATTTAAATCCCTTTTATAAGCAATAATAATGTTGTTTTTGTGCCGTGTGCCACTTCTTCGCTGTGTATATAGTGGATGCTTGACCCTTTTTGCTTAAAAGTATTATATAAGGGTTGTTTTATTGAATGCTTGTACATTTACCATATGACCTACTCAGAGTATAAACAATTGTAGACCTCTGGGATTTATACATATGTAAGTTTTAATCATATACAATTTATATAGACATTGAGTTGCATTCTTTATATGCCTTTCATATTATAAACTTATTTACCCATAGAAATAATTGTTTTTATATCTGTAATATTCCAAATCTTTCACGGATCACTGTTATTGTAATTGCATTCGATACAATATTCTACAAAATAATAGGCCAATAGAACCTTTAAGCTAATTTCCATGAAATAAATACATATATGTATGATGTAACTCATATATTATTATCCTTTATAGTTTACGTTAATACATTTATATAGTAAGTAATAGATACATACACATACAGAACATACTTGTAATGTATAACTATTTTAGTAACATCTATGATATTACGTATTCGTAAAGGCTTTTTTATGATTTGGTCGAAATCTTTCGACAAAGCCTGAAACGATATATTAGTAAGCTATCTAAGTATCATGTACTCTGTCTTCTGATTGCCCGAACTTCTAGTTTTTTGAGAAACTTGGCTCAACGAGTAGTTGTTGATAGCTACTCATCGGAATCAATTGTGGTCAAAATCTGTCATGACCGCAATTCTATTTTTGCTGTACATTAAGAATCTGCTGCTACTATGTAGTTACGCAAATGATATTTCAGACTTAGAGTGACCAATAGAGTTACTAAGAGGTAATGCTTAAGCGTGTTAATTTCACAATTCAGGGATTCTCTTAATGGGGCGACGCCAATCTTGTGAAATACTAAAAATGAAGAGTATTTTTTTACCGCTAGAAGAGTCCATTCACCTTAAATCCCGGTTGAAAATTGAAAGAATGAATGAAATGAACTGAAACAGTTCTGAAAGAATTTATCCTTGGATTTCTCTGACATTCTTTTCCTTCTTCATAATTAGACGCTCAGCGAGTCTTCATTTTAGTGGTAGACCTTCATCCTTTACATTTGAAACCAAACACTTTTTACCAGACTTAGACAGCGGAAAATTGGAATAGTTGGCCTAGTTTGTGTTTCTTCTACCTTGCAATTAGGAGTATTTAAAGGGAAGGGTGAATAGGCTTTTACTGGCTACATTTTTAGATACTAGGAAAAACTAATAAGAACTATTCAGTCGAAATAATAAAAATTATAATAAATACTTTTGGTACTACGTTCACGCCTTAGGATCTAGTTTATTACTTGGTTTCTCAACCAAAAATCAAAGACTTATTGTGATAATTTTAATTATTGAAATTATTTCCATGTTTTAAAATGGCGAATACTTTTTTTGGGTATTACACTGCCGATGGAACTGGTCCCGCTGGGGGGATGTACCCAGAACTTCTTCCGAGAGCCACCAAGTCTTTGATTATGCGTCTGGTACGACGATCTTCATCAGTTTGTACATCGTCCTTGCCTAAATCAAATATAACCTTTATTATAAAACATTACTATTCAAAGAAACCTTTAAACATAAATCCCTAATCTCATCAGTCTGAAATCGAAAACAAACAAGACGATTTCCAGTCTCAAATCTTAGGTTACCCTTAAAATCTTCTTTAAATTGAATAAAATTATTTACCTTCTCAGAAGCTTAAGGAAATGAGATTCGTGATTACTTAGGCTTATCTTAAAAGATTTTTTTCCGTAAAATGATAACGAAAGAAGATATTCGACTAAAAGACTTAAATAGAATGTCTAACTATATTGTTTATTTATTATTGAGTTCAGTGAGTCTTCATTAAATGAATAGTTGTATTATTCGGGATAAATGAGCCTCTAAAAAGACATTGTTTTGTTATTAGGGTGTACTCTCACTCTAACCAGACATATACATATAATACGAGACATACATGTTCAACGCCCATTTCTTTTCCACGCCATATGCCCTTTATTACCTTTTCCACTATAGCAAACGATATAAAAATGGTTCCACCCTAACAAAATGTGATTTAGTTAATACTTTTTCTCGGAGATTGAAGCCCCTGAAGAGATCAATATGCGTATTATAAATAATCTTAAGTTTTCGTCGAACGTATAGCTTAAGACATATTTTGTTTATATCTATATAATATTAATAAGACTTTTATATTATAAAAATCATAGAATCTTTAAGTCCTACCGTTTTTTCCTTTCTCACCGCTAGCAGTGTCGTCATTTCTTCTTGTATTTAATTCTTTCTGAAATTGGCTTGACGCTCTACGCCAAATTTTGTTAAGTTGGCTAACAACAGGTGACTCGGCTAGTTGTTTGGCTAGATTTTGAACGTCCTCCATATTGGCAGTGAGGAGAATGTAACCATGAGATGTTTGCAGAATTGCACACAACGCTGAGACAACGAATATATTTTTACCTATAGTCTATTGAAAAGAAACATATTTAAATTTTCCTTACTTACTCGCTATCCACAAAATACACAACATGTTTATCTCAAATATTATTCAACTCTTAAATTAAAATAAAATTCACACTTTACATTTATTAGCTATAAAATTTTATGAGGTAATAATTATTTAATGGATATTTGAAATAATTTGCTTTTCGTACCTACATAATAATAAAAAATTCTCAAATGCCGAATACTACTGAATGGTACCAACTACCAAATTATAAATAATCTGTAAACATCCAACATATTTTGTTTGCCTAAAAAAATAAAAAGTCTCAATTTGACTTTTTGTTTATTTTTTGTTTGTTACGCTATTATTCCACCAAAAATGCACTGATTAGATAGCTCTTATTGTTCTCTTCTAAGCGATGCTTCCATATGAATTTTATCAAAAAGTTTTTGATTCTCTTTAGCAAAAAACTTTAATAAGGGCTTTCAAATTAAAATTTATTAACACCATGAAACACATGTTACAAAACTATAGTTGATGATTTGAAACAGATATTTGAAAGTAGATACTTTTAAATCATATCCTTGGAACCAACTTATGCATTAAACTCATTTATCAAAGTAGTTCACCTTCATATGTACTGCTTGTGATTGATTTTTAACATATATATTTTAAATTTAAATTCATACACTTTACGTAACATTACTTTTATCTTATGAACATAATTCTTGATCAGCAATTGTGTCAATTACTCTTTCAGGCTCCTGCTTTAAAGAAATTGCTGAATAATGTTTATTTTTTTGCTTGTGCAGATCATTCAGGTACAATCTTAGAGAAGGATTTAATGTTTTCATACATTTTATTGGAGTATATTGTCATATTGTAATAATTCATTTATTTTGATTGGTAAATAAGATATTATAAGAAAACTTTTATGATCAATCTTATTAATCTGTTACACTGAAAACTAGTGTCACTGTCAGTTATGAATCAGCATTCGGCCGTCAATCGTAATGTCAGTACTCAGTGATCACTTTTACGTAGTGAAGACAGCAGTTGTTTTGATCTGAATTTTTGCAAATCATTGTTCCAATATATTGTTTCGAACAATGGAAACGAGTCTCGAGTATGAAGATTTGTTGATTAAATTAAGAGCCAAACTCAATGAAAACAAGATCAAATTGTGGGAACCGCCTTACATTTCCGAAACTGAGGAGTACTCTCAAAGCCTTAAAGTTTGTTTATGTTTTTCTTTTGTTTACTTTAGAACCGGTTTCTCATTGACTTAAAGTTTAACAAAATATTTAGAATTGAAAAATATGAAATTTAAGACTTAGCATCAATATTATTACAAAATTACAAATTAATATCACAAACAATGATTTTTAATGAAATATCCTTAGGAATAATAAAGTATATCCAGGAACTATCTTTTCTCTCTAGGAACTCGCTAAAAAGTATTCTGAAGAACTTAAACATGAAGAAAATATAATAATCCAAGCTCTTTTTGAACTCCAATTGCATTCAATAGAAAGGTCAAAAGCTAACAATGAATTTAAGCAAACTGGTTATGCCACACTCAGGGTTAAAGCCACAGTACAGGGAGAAAAACCTAGAATGTTAAAGATCATGAAGCAGCTTGATGTATCTGGTGAAGAATTAATTGAAGCCGTCGCAAACTTGCTCGAAGTTGCCAAAAATAGGTCAGTTTATTGTCCACTTATTTACATGTATAGTACATTAGACTTATGCTGAGCTTTGCATTTGTTTGAGTGCAAGTACAAGTAGTATTAGACAAAAAACTTTAGAATTAAATTTTATTATATTTTAAATAGATACACAACATAAGTGTAGAGTTATTCTAGATTAAAAATAAAATAAAGCAAAACTTGTAAAAGGCCAGATGGAAATACTTTAAGGAAAAATTTCAATTCATAAACAAAAATTTTGAAAAAACTATACAAATTCTTCTTCAATTGACATTGCGTTTTCAATATTTGATGCTGCTACCAGTACAAAGGATAAAGTGTGGAAGGTGCAAGGCGGAGTAAAAGCAGTATGAACCAGTTTAAACTTATAAAAGAATGTGGCATTCAAAAATTTGGCATCAAACCTACACTATCTGTGTGCACTCACAAATGCAAAGCTCAGCTTATATCTCGCACTCTATACTTTTTTATATAATCCCATTATTTTGCTTAGATATGGTGTTTAAACATTCAATACCTTCGAAGTCATTCTTTCATTGATTTCAATCTGAGGATATTTTTGTATTATTTCTCTATTAATTTATGAATTGGTTTTAATTTTCAGAGTCAAACTTATATATAACGGCAAATTAATAAGACCGAATCCTAAACTTGAAGAACAAGGAATCAAAAACGGTGTACAGATTATGGCATTGGTTATGGCAGGTAAGAAAATTTTATTCAGTAATAATTTCAATCAAAAATGCATTTCAAAAACCTCAGTCAAGTTCCATAACTTTAGTTTGAATTTACAAATTTTATGATGTTCAAATTTATGCAATTTAATTATATATATTTAGTAAACGAAAAATTTTATTTTTATATTTATCTATATAACATAAGGCGGCCAACTTTCCGAAAACTGAATGCGGAACTTAACCTTTCGTGAATGGCGGGGGGGGGGGGGGTTGTTAGGTATTGGGAATGTCATAAAAATCTTCGCAACTGCCCATATTAAATTTAAGTACTCTCTTACGCGTCATGAGTTCAGAAGAAAGGAAGAAAACGAGATTAGCGCGGGCGCGATACGCTTGTCCCTATTATAGGTAATCTGTGTTCCTGCACCTTTGACCGTGGTATGGGTGTCGTGTAGAAGTGTGGTAGAAAAATAGGGATGCGGGACGCATACAACGTTTTGCGGGCCTATTTTACTAATAATTTCAAAGCGGGATTTCGTCTAGAATTGCGGGACGGTTGGCCGCCTTAATATAACATAATATAATACATAGAAAAAATCTTACAACACTGATAATGCTAATCTTGACTTTATTTTAGTAATTCGGTGATCTTATTTTGCAATTTAATCACAAAAATATTGCTTACAATTTTTATATATATATATTTTAATATTTAATCAAAGATCTTGGATATAAAATACATGTTGATAAGTATACTTGCTCGGTATTGTTAAAAAACATGACATCAATGTAGGTAGATCACTTTATTATATTAGGTCCTTTCATTCACTCTTGCTACTTACCACAATTCACATATAACAAATTTAATATAGTTTTATTATTTTTCTTTTCAGAAGCTCCAGAGCAAATTAAGAAGGATGATAAAATTTATCGTGAGATGAAATCCACATTAGATGATGCTACATTACTGTCAGAGTATGTAGATGATCTAGCTGAGGATGAAGAGTATATGAAGGTATTTATTACTAGCTTATAGTTATTTATGTATGTATGTATCTTGTTTGGATTAATTATGAAATGGACATCTCCTGATTGAAATGTTTTTTTTTTCTATAAGCTTAAATAGATACATATATAAAATTTTTGATATATGATTTATAATTTGATCATAATCAACTTTGTGAAGTCATAGTTAAACCAAAATGGCGTCCATCTGAAAGGGTAGAGTAATTTATTTTATTAAACTTTAATAGAAAAAAAATAAAAGAATTGCTTAGTCTTTAACACAGAAAATATGAAAATATGAACCAATCCAATAACAATAAGACAACTGTGACCAACATAATAATGTAAATTAAAATTCAATTAATTTTCTTTTCAATTTTACTCTTTCTATAATTATATTCGTGCTTGTTCTGATAATTTTTACATTTCAAAGTCCATGCAACTTAATATTGTTATAATTTCTGTTAGTAATCGTAATTAATCAATTATTTACGATATTGTAGCTTGAAGATCAATCTGGTAAGACTATTAAACTGCCGCCGGCTGAGAGAAGGTCTTTACTGATAGGGTTGGCGCTTCACGAGCGGGGACGGGCCGCTGCTAGGAAACAAGACTATTCACTGGCGTTGGTGCTGTTCTTAGAGGCTGATAGACAGTTTAGGTAAGATCTGTCAAAATGTTACTCAATTCTAGTGTCTTCTATTTTAATACTATCTTTCCGCCCGCAGCTTCGCCCGCGTGGAGTTCGGTTATATCGCGTTTCCAAGAGACTCTTTCTAAAGTCTGTGATAAAAACTATCCTATGTTCTTGTTCCAGATCAACTCTATCTCTGTACCAAATTTCATTAAAATCTGTTGAGTGGTTTAGGCGTGAAAGCTTAACAGACAGACAGACAGAGTTACTTTCGCATTCATAATATTAGTAGGGATGAAATAGGTAGTCAATGAAACTTCAACCTTATATTAAGTAAAATAAAGTCTAAGTTTGTAAACGCAGTATATTAGTTATAGCTTATACATATAGCCTTGAATACATCAAAATAGTAAGTGGATAAGTGGGATATTTGGGATGTGTATTTTATGATTATTTTTTCCGTATATTTTAGCGTCATATCGAGACAGAGGTAACATCTATTAACTTTCTTATCTAAGTTCTATTCATTACTTTTTAATTTAGAAGTATATAATTAACATTGTACATGTCACTGCTTCCATTATCAACACAATATTTTTGATATATGTTCTATGACAATGCGCCGAAACCTCTTAGCATTCAATGTATTCACCGTGCGGGTGTCGGGTCCACCGTTGTAAGGAGAGGAGCTGCAACAGTGATTGGGACTTGCGACCCAGGTGTAGGCTTAAGGGGGCCCTATCTAACGCGTTAAACGCTCACCTCCACTGTCCAAACGCCTTTCTCTACCTAATAAAATTTGAAAAGATTCGTATGAGTTCCACGAATTCTTATTCCATAGTAATTTTCCCATTCTTTATTCCAGTGAATGCAGATCTTCAATCCTACAGAGTGTTGACAACATCGCTGTGTTACAACTGGACATATCCTGGTGTTATCTTTGTCTTCGTAGTCTTGCATCGGCGGGTGACGCGGCCGCTCGCCTCGCTCGCGCAGAAAACGCCTTCAGACTCTCATATGGCGAAGATCATCAACGATTGATAGCTCTCAAAGGAACCAATGGTCAGTATTACTTAATGACATTTAGATTATATATTCAGTTAATGGCTCAAGATAAAACTCAGTAAGGAAATAGTTTTGAACAATAAATATGTAATATATGGAAGTGAAAGTGGATAAGATATGAGAGATTGAATACTCAAGCCATATTAGTTAGCTCCTGCTAGTATAATATATTCAGTGAAATAATACTTATATATTTCGATTTTATTTTCCGAAATTGATAATTTAATCGAGATAATCTCTCTTCTTTTTGAAAATAATTCTAAAACATTTGTTAAAAAAAATATTAATATTATGATATTTATAGTTTTTGTACCATTCATTGAAAGATACATAAATGTTATTTGTTAAAGACCTATCCATAGCATCCTTTAAAAAACTTGAATTTTGTTGTATTTTTTACATACAATAACTTCTACCTTAAGCCCACTATAAACTTCGTCCCTAGTGTAACCAAAAAAGGCAACATCTACATATTTATCTAACTAGGCTAACTATGGCCCTTCTTATGAGCAAAAAAATCAAAATCCATTAATAGTCACCCTTAAATCGTATAGTAATTCTATGATACTTTTGGTAGCAAACGAGAGAGTGCTTTTCATGCGTCTCTACCTGCTACAAGGGATTGTGGCGTATCATCAGAACAAACGTGATGATGCCAGGGTACTGTTGGAGAAAGCTGAAAACGAACTCAGATTTATTAAGGTATTGTTATTAGTTACGGTTAAATAATTGGTTTAAACATGGCATTGAACAGAAAAAATAATTCACTTTATTAGTACTGCACGTTGTATCGTTTATATCTATTTTATCCCGTTTTACAAACTAATAACTTACACGGCCCTTTTATACATAACAGTTCGATTACTTTCAACTTATTCTTATTTGTATAAAACATTGAAATATTCTAGTAAACGTATAAGTAAAACTTTCCACCTGTCACGAGATGACGCTGCTTCCTTATATCGAAAATATTGTACCATATTCAGTGAGCCAGCGCGACTGTAAGAATAACATTGTCCGCTAAATTTATACATAACTTAATATTTTTTATTTGCTTGTGATAAAATAAAATACCGTGCTTATACGAATTAATTATTTTAAGTAACAGAGTGACATTTATGTAGAACTGAAATATTCTACATAGTGTTTCTCAATGCTTACATAGGTAACAGAAGCAGTAAAAATGAGCATCAATAAAGCACTAAAAATATGTTTATTTTGAATCTAAAAAATTACATAGAACATTGTCCATAATTATGTACACTAAAAAAGGTTAGGCAATATTTTTGCTAAACTCATTTTTATGTTCAAATATTCTTCTTGTCAAAATGAAGACTTCTTCGTTTTCTTACATTTTGTATTTCATTTTTAGCCAAAATTCAAGTTAATTTTCTTTTAATATATCCTAGGTTGATGAAGCCTCAGTAGAAGCGCTAACAGAGCTAGGCTGGTCACGTGGTCAGGCTCGGACAGGACTACGGGCGGCTGGAGGTGATCTGGACCGAGCACATCACTATCTGGAGGAGAAACGAGCGGAGAGAGAGGCGGAGAGAGAGAAACATAGAGTGGAAAGGTGAGAGAGAGATACGGAAAGATAGGAACATCGAGTGGAAAGGTGACCTTATTGCTATTAGGCTAAGAAATAGAAGTAACAAATCTCTACTAATATTATAAATGCGAAAGTAACTCTGTCTGTCTGTTACGCTTCCACGCCTAAACTACTGAAGTGATTTTAATGAAATTTGGTACAGATATAGAGTTGACCTTGAGAAAGAACATAAGATAGTTTTTATCCCAGACTTTTGAAAGGTTCTCTTGGTAACTAGTCTTCTATATAAAGCAGTAGCTTGTATACAATGTTAATTATATTATATCATTGATATGTATTACTTCAGACTCCAGGCGCAACTTGGTCAATGTCTGGATGGTTCGTCAGTGAATCCCCAACTAGTACAAGCTTTACAAGCCATGGGTTATACAAGACGGATGGCGCTGTTGGCTCTAAGGAACTCCAATAATAGTGTAGCTGATGCTGTAAGGCTCATACAAGAACATCCTGAGATGGTGAGTGAAAAACGATCTTATCTGAATGTTATAGAGTTTAAATTCTTTTCACCTACAAAATTATATTTTTTCTTAGCATCATAAATCATAACAAGTCTTCAAGGCCATTTTGTAGATAGCTTCGTAGAATTTATATGTATTTTACCTTGCTCACGTAAAGTCAGTCATAATAATTCATATTTTGATATATTTTCACCAACTTCCAACCAGTCGTTTATACTAGTAACTAAAACTACTAAAACACATGACGTATATTCTCCAAATGGCATTTACAAGTGATACAAAGTCGTCATACTTGATGAGATCTGAGACTTTTATGAGTAGTCAAGTTATTGAATACTCAAGAAAGTATTAGATCTCATTGCTAAAATGTATAAACCAAATTTTCATATAAATATCTTTTAAATTGCAGTTAGTGGAGAGTGACTCAGACGCTACAGCGAGCTCGGATGATTCATTGCCTGAACCGGACAACAAATTGGTCGCTGAGGTACATTAACATATGATAAAAGTATTTATATTTAATCCAAATTAACCTCCTGATGTCTATAGAAGCCTCGATTAAGGTAAAGAGACGTAACTGTAGCTGAAACTGAAATCTTGTCATATAATGTAAAATAAATCTTATTGGTTGTATATTTAGTATTGCAAACAACCTCAACACATTCCATAGTTTGATGTAATATGACAATATTTTAGAAAATGATAGTTATGTAATCGCAATTATTCCATTGGAACTAGCAATTTTTTTAAGTTAGCAAAAATATTGGGATGCCCTAATCTATAAGAATACAATAACTGTGTTATATATTAATTTTTAATTATTAATTAATAACAAAATTATTACAGATTGTGTTCATAAAGAAAAAAGTGATCAGTAAACAATTATTGTATTAAGACAAGCACAGTATTAGAATTAAAGCAGTTACAATTCAAATAATAAGTGTATCCCAAGAATGAGTATATACCAATGTTAAGAAGAAACATGGATAATAATCATTATATATAGATAATTATATTATATTGAGAATAATTCTAAGTTAAACGTGTTTCAGTTGGAATCAATGGGCTACCCTATATCTGAAGCCCGCAGCGCCCTCCGTCTGTCTCGGAACAACGTGCAACGAGCTGTGGAAATACTGCACCAAGGATGTGAACACTCGTGTATGGAATCTTATATCATATTTTAATATCTATATATATAAAAATTTCGTGTCACGTTTTTGTCCGCGATGGACTCCTAAACTATTAAACCGATTTCAAATTTGATATGCATTCCGTGTGTATTCTGATCTAACTTGAAAGATAGGATAGCTTACATCTCAATTTATAGTCACAATATTATTTTATAGCAAATTATTTGTCTATTAAAGAAAATTATTTGTCATTATTACAATTATCTGTTGACTGAGTTAAGTATTCGATAAATGGCGCTATGTTAAAAATACAAACTTCATATATGAGTGACTATTTAATAAAAAAATAGCATAACCACCACGTGTTTCTGAGGCTAAGGTATAACCTAACCTTATTTATTAAAAAAACGTAACAGATATTTCTTGATTATAGGGCGATAGTAAGTTCGCCGGGTCTTCTAGTATATATATATTTGTTCTTCATATATGTCATGAACATTATCAAACTAATACTTATTATGTCACATACATTATACATATCACTTATATATGATACTGAGGCTTACAAATTAAAAATATTTTTACACTTATTCTAAATCCTTTGTTATTTTTATAACATTATAGCGTCTTATTAATCAGTCGTTTGTTTCATAATTAATAAAAGATTAAATTTATTTCTGCTTTCTTAGTAAAATATGTTCTATCAGGTATGTTTCATTTGATATAAAAATCGACTAATTTGTTTCTATACCACTGTTATCCTATTATAACTATACTTATATTATTCATCTTCCAAAAAAGGTGAACCAGGTTCTTCAAACCCATCAACAAGTGCCGGTGTCACACGAAAGAAGCAAAAAAAGGCATCGAAATTAAAAAAGTAAGTATAGAATAAATTTTGCTATATCAGAAAATTACATTTCTATATATAGAACTTATAATATAGGAAGAAAGACCGTGAGAGTGCCTTACACCGCCTGCAAAATACAATACGCTCCGAAGATGATGAGTACTTAAGCGGAGCCCTAAATGAGGAAGAAGCCCTATTAGGAACTTACCGAGCACTTCTATGATTTTTGATATTTTTACAATAAGCATTGGTATATGTAGCGCTTTGTAAGTGTCGGTAACATTAATGTTACCATGGTATACAATAAAAATATGTGTATTTCTTCTGTTACTATAATAATATTCCCACTATAAGTGTGTGTAACTATAAGTCTGTACTTACATATTGAAACATATCTGTTAGTCTCGGGAAGACTAAGTGTATACCATTTGCACTGTAAGTGTAACTGATTAGACTTAACTTTTATACCGTGTAAATACAGTTCTATTACTATATACATCTTAATCACTATAAGTGTCTGTAACATGAGCACTGTAAGTGTATAGAAAATTGTTACTGTCTGTATTTAACGTTGTTAATTTCAAAATTAACAGATACTCTCAAGTGAATTGAAAAATCTTAGTGTATGATACTATTGCTTTCAGTGAGTGAGTGATAGTAACTTCTAGTATTGTTACTGTAAGTATACTTACACCTTACGTGTCTAAATATGAACAATGTTTCGTGCCATACATATACGAATATTCGTATTTTCAAATTGATATTTTTTACTTTTAAAGTCTTCCAAAACGTGCTTTAATAATAACGTTTTAATTTTTGAGCTAAATTCCTAGTACTTCGATCCGTCTTTAAGATGTTTTCGCTACAATTTTATAACCAATATTCTAGTATATTGTATTTTTCTAATGTTATGTAATAGCAATTTGATTCAAAATATTTTTTTATTTAAATTCTTCCGTCTGTGTCAAATAGTTATATGTGTATGTTATTAATGTTACTATGATTATATTTTCTGTCTTTACGTGTTGATGTGATAATAAAAATTAAAAACTGTACATATAGTTTTTATTATTTTATTTAATAAAACCTGTAAAATATGTACTTACTAGAAAATATATAAAATTGGCGGGTGATTTGTCTTCATATATTCCGCTATTCTAACTGTAATTGTCATGTTATCAAAATGTCTGCTAATAGCTTTTTAAGGATATAATTTAGGTGCTAATAAAATATTACTGGCGTTTATAAAAACACGCCACTCTTCCATAACGAAAATCTTTTCGTGTTTTCTGTACACAGTTATTCAAAATTATATAATTTATTATAAAAACTTTGATATTTGTATAATATTCCACAATTCCAGTGTGAATGGTGCCTCAATATGGATAAAAAGGGTATAATTGATAATTTATAGCTTTTTTCAGCAAATGAAACAGAGGGTTTTAGTGTTTTTTGTTCCAAAATCTCCAATAACACGTTCAACTTAAAAGTAACAGTGATTCCTATTGGTTGACTATAAATTCCAAGAACATTACATCGTTTTTGATGTATTCAAATTTATCGAGACTGGTGTGAGGTATGAAGATGTATTGTTTCTTCATCTGTATCACGTTAAGGTCGAGGGATTCTGTTGATCTTGTTTTGTCGTCACCAGAAATGTCATAATCGTGACGCTTTGATGACGATTTTCGACGCAAATCCAGAGTTTTTACTATATCCGTTGCCTGAAAATTGAGCAATTATTGGAATAGATACTAAATTTACTCTCCTATAATGGAATTAAATGGGAATAATAACAAATAAACTAAGCAAGGGATAAAAATGTGCTTCTTAGTTGGTTGTTAGTAATAACAAATTTAATGGTGAAGAAAATGTCTACTTTTATGTGTTTTATTGGAGTGTGGGGATGGTATAGTTAATAATAGTCGCTGACCGTCTTAGAAATAAAATATTATTCCACCTAAACTCAAAACATTAGTATTTATGTCATTTGAAAACGGTTTCCTTATTACAGTTGATAGCTGTATGCCTACGTGGAAACCAAATTCATTATGAAAAAAAGGTTTTTCAATTCAATTAGTAAAATGATCAAAATATTTGTTAAGTCTATAAAATTGTCTTTCTATAAGTAGTGACTAGATATCTTTATTTATAGTAATGATCTTATAGTTTTAACTGTCACTTTACAATAAAAACAAAGAGGTGAAATGATTAATGAAAGTAGAACTTTCAAGAAAAACAAAGCAAAATTCTTTTTAATCTCCACGTACGTTAATGTGCAAAAGGGAAGAATGTTTTGGTTCTAAGCTAAGCCAAACTGGATAAAATGCAAATTGTAATAACTATATCAAAACAACAGGAAAACCTCTATTTACATCTTTGAAGCTAATCACATCTATTTGATAGCTGGTTTGTGGCAATTATCGTTGGGGAAAATCACCTGACTTTTATTCGCGGGCTGATCCCTCAAAATGATGTTGATAGTGAGATCGCAGGGCCAGTCCAAAAGTTGGTCGTAAGGGCCGGCCACAAGACGTAGCGTGCACGTCAAATGGCGCCCTTTCCATTTGCCGATACCGTTCAAATTTAATTCAGCCTAAAACAAAATAGTGCTTTTATATTGTTTCACCATACACTTTCTTGTTAATAAAATTACGTTACCTTTAATGTGTAACCATATTTGCTGGTACGGAAGAGAGGACTTGTCAATACGGCGTCTTTTTCCTTGGCTTCTTTCATTCGGTCATGGAAGTTGTCTATTCGCCAGATAAGATGACCTTGAGAGAAAATATGTAATGAAAAACAAAGAATCAAAATATATCCAACAGCTAAGTGAAAGCTATAATAACCATTGTCTCCGCCGAGCTCCGGATTGTCCAAACTGACTCTTGACTGGAAATCTATGAGCTCATTCCTCAACTTGTGGTAGGATTTTGTTAAAGCCCTGAGATCTCTAGAGACCAAGTCCATCTTAGCTATTTGTTCTGCCGCTTCTGCCCTAGCATCTGCAGTAGCTACTTCCAGAACCGCTATACGATCTATTGCCTGAAAGTAGAGGCTATTTCTGTGACTTCCTTTTATTAACCACTGCTTTGGAATAATGTAAAAAAAAATTCTCACCAAACGACCCCCAACCATGTCACCCATTAATCCAATTTGATTTTCCTCGTTGCGTTGCCTCTCATCTTCTATTGTCTGCTTTAGATAGTTTACCGCTTCCTCTAAAATGATCAATATTTGTCTTTAAACGTCTAGCCGGTTTAAATTTTCTAGATTTTCTATACTGTAAGCGCTTAAACAAATTTTTAACGTGTATTTTTGTGTTCCGTACCTAATGCTTTGATGCTTCTTATCTTATTATCATGATCTGTCATCGCCTGTTCAAGCAATTCTCTCTCTCGTTGCTCGTGTACGAGACTGGTGACGACACTCTCTAAACGCATTGCGGTATTCATCTGCTGGCTTTGTAACTCCTGGTATAATAAAATTAACAGTCGATTCAAGTGGTATATGTGGACAAAACATTAGTTGATACCGCTATGTCATAGCATCCAAGTTTTGATTATGAAGGGAGATATTATGTATTTGAGATGGTTTGAAACGTTCATTCATAACAACAAATAAATTTTAGATGTTATCTCTAGTTATCGTTATCTTTAAAAAAACAAGTGAGGAGTATGTTAATTGTATCTGTTAATAAGTCACTATTTTAAGTGGTTTACAATACTACTTAATATATATATTTTACATATATATATGTATATATATATGTAAAACTAGTATAATAATAACCAGGTATCAGGCTTGACCTTGAGTATCCGCTTTCTTATTGTCGTGAAAGCTAGGATATTAATGAATAAATTTTATTAGGCGTATTCAAATCGTTTCTAAAAGCCTATCTCAAAGTGGGACATTTTGATTTTATTTAAATCTACCTGTAAAGCAAGCTGGACATTAGCGAGGTCGTGTTTGAACTGTGCCGCCCAGTTGGCTGATCTCTCAGCCTCATCATCAACAGCGGCTCTTAAGGAAACCAATGATGAGAGGAAGTGTTGTGTTCGTTCCTCCACCAACACCAGCTTGGATCTCAGGTTGTCTATCTCAGTGGACTGGACATCGCGATGACTGGTCTCCTCAGTGAGAATCAACCTTGCCAGATCATATTAATATTATAGTTTATGGGTTATTTCGGTACAAGACCAAAAAAGATGTTCTTCAAATAAATGAAACTAATATTTTATTAATTATTTTAAAAAACTGCATACTCCTGACGTTTCATTTACTTGACAGCAACCGTGATCACTGGCAGACGAGATGTGATCACATCTACTTTTAATACGCGTAGTAATCCGAAAATATTAGTTTCATTTAAATGAATTGTCGCGAAACTTTTACATGCCATTAGATGTTTATCAAAATTAGTATAATTTATTAATTAGTCCTACTTTTTAGCTCAACTCGTCATGATAGATACTTGTCTCACTATTATAAAATTAGTCAAATTTCAAAATATTTACTTGATAGAAGTAATTTCCTTCTCAAGGTAAGTGACACAGTCCTCCAAAGGTATCGAATGTGGAGTCCACGTATGAAGGTTGGGCTGAGGAGGAACTGGGTCGGAGGCACGGACGTGACTGGGAGAGACAGCTTCACGAGTCTGGAGAAATAATAATTGATTATAAGATTATTACACGAAGACGTGGTTACGATAAAGACGTTAGGACTTGATGAGTAAAAACACTGAAAGAAAAACAAATGCCATTTGATAACATGTACAAAATAATTAAAAAGATAATTTAAACAATATTTAAAGCATGTAATTAATATTTACATATACCAAACAATGTTATTACTTAATATAGGGTAATGATTTTGATTGAACTTTTAGGTAAGGTCTAATTTTGCAATTTATTAAAAACAATATTATTAGACACCACGGACAGACGGCGAAGGAACATCGTGAGGAATCCTGGATTAATAATTTCTATTGTAAGTTTGAAATCACCAACCCGTCTCGAGCAAGCGTGGTGATTAATGCTCAAATCTTCATGTGAGAAGAGGCCTTTACTCAGCAGCAGCTCTGATAGGCTGATGATGAAATACAATATGTAAATCATATATACCTAAATGTTTCTTAACCTTTACCATTTGCGGGCAGTCCTTGACGTGTGTGTCCTTGTGTTTCCTCTGTATCCACGCTCCACAGCGTAGCGGACATTGCTCTAATATACTACCGCATTGTTTCAAATGATTCTGCAACAATTTTCAAACTACATTTCTTTGATTCAGCTGAGGTATTTGGTAAAATCAAATAAAGAAAAATCAAATTGTCAGTCAGTTATTATTAGTTAGTAATAAATGATTTATATATTTTCTTGTGTATTGATACACACAAAAGAAATCAGCTATATCTATAAATTATAATGTCTCCTATATGGTTTAATGTAATTATAATTGCAGAGAAATTCTGGCATTCATATTTCAATTAACTATGGCATTAGACTTTTTAATAGTTTATTAAATTATACAAAAATCCTCTTTGACATTCGCAACGTTCCTTTGATATCAAAAACGACGGTTAGTGAATTTGCTCCATAATTTTCAGAGGGCCTATCAATAAAATGTTAGTTGAATAATTTCTATATATTAAACTAGTGTTAAGGCACTGAATAACAGTATATGTAATAATTTAAGTCATTTTAATTAAATAACAGTTTAGTTAAAAATCAAAATCATTGTGTATTATGTTTAAGATGCCAAAATAATTCAATTAAATGATTAAAAGGCCGAAAGCGAAACTATTCCTTTTATGTATATTTGTTCCTGGATAAAGAATTCAAATTTCAATAATGTAATGAAAATTTATTTTATTTAAGTAGTAATCTCAACATTTGTTGATAACATATAAAACAAAACTCCTTATCTTAAATTTTGGAAAGATCGATAATGTGATGCATTCCTTTGCAAACCTTCGTCATATCTCGAGTATTGAATGATAAAACAAAATACAAAATATAATAGCAAGATTTTTATGAACAAATGTATATTTTGTCAAGGGCACTTCTGATCTATTAGGAACTAATTGAAAACATTGAGACTAATGCCTAATATCAACAGTGATTTAAGCATCACTATACAGTTAGGTATCTGAATTTGTTGACACTAAAAAGGTTTGATTAGAGAGGCTTGAAACCAATAACATCAAAAAAGGAATTAACAAATGGTTAAAAAAAAGTTGATTAATAGAACCGTAATCCAAAGATTACTAGATTACCATCACGTCATCACGGTAATCTCATCATATATCCTATTTAAGGTCCTACAATATATGTACATATATTAATTCAATTTAAACAAACCTGTAACTTTCCCATCTCGAACATTTCATTACAGAAATAGCAAGCACTGTCCCGGGCTCGATCATCCACATCTGCTTCTATTCTTTTAATACTCATTTTCGCACCAATTTTTACTCTTACTATTCAACAAAAAGCCACTTAAGTCTTTATCTCTGCATCGCTTGTAATTAGAATCACGAAAACTTCGATTTTAACACATTGAAAGTTTTTAAATCCAACAATGACAAGGTTCCAAAAAGGTACTTAAGTTATTCTAATGAACTGCACTTAAACCTTTGTTTCAGTAATAACTCTTACAGATTTCAGACGTTACTAGAATAAACGCCCCTCTGGCCGAGCATGTGTCATATCACGACACCTGATAGGGCTGATAACAATGATAAGGAATGACAATTATTTGTAGGAACATTATTTTAGTGGGTCAAGGTTAACCTTTGCTTAATTTAAGCTCCTGTTTATTAATATTTATATAAAAACCGTATGTTCTATATAAAACTTCACAACTTAATCTAACTTTAAGTTATAATTTTAGCAATTTAGCGTGGATGTTTAAATTAAAAAGATTTTTATTTTTTCATTATAAATCAAGCAAAAGTAAAAAAACAAACAGCATTCACGAGGATCGCAAAATGTGAATAAAAAATAAACACTAAATTATAAGCACTAAAAGCAGGTACTCAAACGATTGGAAGTCATTTTTATTTTTAGATTTCATTGTGATTACGCAAATTATGCGATTTTATTACACAATCTAAAATAGAAGAAACAAAGTAGCGGACAATGACATGTATAGAAATATTTTTTTTTAGCTATAACGGATTATTCTTGTTATAATCTTACGATAATTTATCGTCAGTAAACCAACATGGCACCCAAACGTCAATATATGTAGGTATATATTAGTGTTGCCCATAATCGGTCTTGTTCTTGCAGTCTTGGTCTCGTTCTTGAATTCTTGCAAGACCAAGACTATGACTGGGTAATTTTTAGCAAGACCAAGACTGACTGTGCAAGATTTTAGCAAGAACACGCCCAAGCCTGCAAGAATGTTGTGTTTTGCTGTTAGGACTAAGGGTAGTTTCTGGGACTAGGTATAGCCTATAGGAGTTCGGGGTTCGAATTGTTGATGCAAGGCCAAGACTTGCTAAGACTCGTCTTGTTCTTACATTTGGACAACACTAGTACTTATATATAAAATGTAAACATTAGATCACCAAATGTATTCTTGTACATAATTGTATATAATTAACATAATTATATATTTTGTCTGTAATGTTATTTCTTTTAAACAATTTATAAAATTGCTTTAGATCCTTACTAAATATAGAATTTACAGTGACAATGTAAATGAGGAAAAAATATAGAAAAACTATACGTCACTGACTTAAATAATGCTCAGTTGCTTATTAATCCATGGTAGATAGATTAGAAAAGTAGATACGAAATCGCTTAGCTAGCTAGCTAGCTAGCCTACAATGCATTCACCGTGCTGGTGACGGGTCCATCGTTTCAGGGAGAGGAGCTTCAACAGTGACTGGGACTTGTGTAGGGGACAAGTGTAGGTTTAAGGAACCCTTTTTAATGCGCGTTAAACGCTCGCCTCCACCCACCAAGCTCCTCTCTCTACCTAACCAAATTTGAAAAGAACCTACTAGATCTGCCTTTGAAGTACCTTCCAAGAATAAATTGATGTGATTGATTTTAGTAGGTTGTAAAGCGATTTCTCTGATCTCTCGCTCCATCTTCTACCGCGTACAAATCCACGACAAACCTATTTCAAGTGAGTTCGTTAGTGAGTCATATAGCACAGAAATATTTAAAAACTTACTACATTCTACTTACGATAAAAAGATGGACTGGTAATATCCACATTATAATTCTTGGACCTTTTCTTAATTTAAATCTCTTGGCGAAATTCAGCACATACAATATACATACAAACTCAGCCACCTTTAACGCCCAGGCTATTACGCAGTAGTAGCAGTTTATCTCATCATTAAACAAATTTACTTAAAGTTACATATTTCAGCGGCTGCATTACTAAAGTATTACGTATATTTAAAGATAATACTAGCTAAAGGACTCTGGCTTCATCTGTCTTGTGCCGTAATAAGTATCTTTGTATAGAAAGGAATCAATTTTCTTTATAAAATATCGAGCGTGTACTCTGTCCGTACACCCTTAGCAAGTAAATTTTATCTTTACCCTTATCTTTAAAAGATTCTCATTACTAAATCTTTGATATTATCATAATTAATGCATGTATGACTAAGTGTAAACGTTTGAATCGACAAAGTTATGTCAAAAATAATAATCAATCAGTTAATATAAATTTTGTCGTAATAATTTTAATTGTCTATTATTGTTCTTCGTTTCTTGCAAGTCTCGAAGGTAACACCATTTTAAATTGTTTTTTTTTCACGTTGTGATTTTCAACATATAATCTAAGACATAACAACACAAGGATTTGTCTGTTTACGAAACTGTTCTATGAATTCGTAGATTCATAAATCCAATCACGAGACAAATTACCATCCAGAAAAAGACAAATTACCATCCAGAAGTATTTAAAGGTCTAGACTTTGTAGAATTATATTAGTCAAAAGTATTTTTGAAATGTTAAGTGTCTATTGTTAACAGAAATTAATGTTACATATTTTTTTTAAGATTCTGGACGCCTTTGCCGGTTGGGGATTCAAAAACAATAAGTGTGTTTATAATATCTACCTATTAGAATTCAGAACTATCAATTTCCATATCGCAATGACATAGTAAAACGTGTTTTATTAGGGAAAAAAATCATTATATGTATATATAAAATTATAAACTAAATACGAAGAATGAATATATCTTGTCTTTCCTCATACCAAGACCAAGTTAGGAACAGATTCTCTTCACTTAAATTCCTATAAAAATCAATAGATGTCATAGAAAAATGTACAATCCATTCCATCAAGACTCATATCTACTACTCGTTTATTCTTCCCTACAGGCGGAGCATCACACAAAATTTGAAACGGCTCTTTAATCCAAAACTTGAATATATAAATAAATTATACTCAGTAAAGAACACATCCTGTTTCTAAAACAAGATTATTTGTGACACAATAAATTAAATAAATTATGGTGTTTTATTTATGCTATGGGATGAGAAAAGACCAAAACGGGTGTGTTCGGTATTTTAGTTCAGTATTACTTGTGTATTTGATAAGACATAATATGTTTAATTCTTATTATGGCTTAAAAATTGTTTTCATCCATCTCAGCTGTGTGAGTTTTCTTCATTCGTGTATCCGTGTAAATATTTAGGTGGTAGAGCCTAGCTGTGGTTAAGTTACTACAGCTCGAACATGGGCTGGCTCGACCGGGGAAGTACCACCCTCTCACAGAAGATCGGCGTGAAGTAGTCAGTAATAACTGCGTTTCGTCCGATGAGTGAGAGAGCCGGTTGCCCTTTCCCTTTTCCCAACCTTTCCTTGTATTTCCTTATTCCCACCCTTCCCTATCCCTAAAAAGAAAAGGTTGGCAACGCATCCGCAACATATTTGTTGCGGATGTCCATGGGCGTCGGTAACCACCTTCCATCAAGTGGGCCGTCTGTTCGTTTGCCACCTATAACATAAAAAAAAAACCTCAGCCTTAACTAACTCGACCGTCAATCTCGTTGGTTAAAAACTCATTAAATTTTCAAATTGTTGGTAACATTCATGAATGCTGAAGTCCCGAAAATCTTTTAAGAATACCTATTTATTACCTGTACACGAACAGCTATTATCTGTCAGTGACGACTGAAATTGCACATCAAGTTACCTCTGCATCCTCAGAGAACAAAAACAGATCCAAGGCTCTTCATTCATGAATATTTGACGCTACGTTGGTTCTGATAGTATGTATCAAATCCAATGAATGTACTGCAGTCACCCATGAACTAGTCGTGACTCGACATTATCGTACTCTTACTACATATTAGTTTCATCATGACACTACATATTAAGAGTTTTTTTTCATTTTCCTTCATAAAACCAAACACAATTTAGTATTGACGTAAGCTATTAAATGAAAAATCGAAACTATTTTTTGGTAGTGAGACGACGCGTACGTGAGGTAGACACTTCAGTAAAGTTGTTTTCACTTAACACTAAATTAAATCTAATGAGATCTAATATTTTCGCGAGTATTCATTAAAATTACAATAATAATTTTCGTATATACTACGCGTATATAATTATTTTTAACAACATACTCCAAAGTTTTCGGTTACTTTACAAAAACCGTGATTATGGGCAGACGAGATGTCACATAAATTATTTGTTTTATTCCATTAAATAAATCTATGCCTAGTTTTTACTCGAAACTCAAATATTGTAAATATAACCATATTAAACCTATATATATTATAACAGAATATTGAATAACGTAGTAATTAAAATTAATTTTATATGTAAATATTTAACCAGTTGGTAACAATACAGTGCGACATATATATCCAAGTGAAAATTTAAGATGCTTTGTATTTGATATTTAAATGTTAATTGTATACATATTATAAATATTTCTTTCAAATCTATGATAACTTTATATGTATAACGTAATAGTAGGTGCTTATATAAACATATACACAACTGTGAAAATACGGAACTTTGTTATATTAATAATGTTTCCAAAGTAATATTATATGTATATATTAGTTCTAAAATAAAAGAATTTTCGAATCTAATAATAACTTGCGAATAAAAGCGCTTTTAAAAATAGATACAAAATTAATACTTTTCTTTTATATTAAAATAACTTATATATCAAGTTATTTATAACTTAGTCCTATTTAAAATAGTAATAAGTTATATTTTTACGCAATAATTATATTATTATCGCAATATTATGACTTACGATTCCTTTTCCTGGAAAGAGTTTTTGAAATTCCTACGTAGATACTCGTAACATGTAACAAAACGAATTTAACACTGAGAAAAAATATTTGTGTCTATAATTTGTAGTTTTAATTGCATACAATTGTAAAGTAAACTTGTAAACCTAGAAATTATTATCGACTAGTATTTCTGTGTCGATTAAGTAACGACTAACGAGTAATTCTAGAA